AGAAGGAAAAAGAATAGCAGAATAGCGAGTTGGAAGGGACCTTGGACTATCCATCCATCCATCCATCCATCCATCCATCCATCCTATCATCTCTCTCTCTGTCTCATCTACCCTACCCTACCCTACCCTACCCTACCCTACCCTACCTTACCCTACCCTATCTATCTATCTATCTATCTATCTATCTCTGGTGTCTTCAAACTTGACAGCTTGAAGACTTGTTGACTTCCACTCCCAGAATCCTCTTCCACTCATGGTTAGCTCAGGAATTCTGGGAGTTGAAGTCCACAAGTCTTAAACTTGGCCAAGTTTGGAGACCCTTGATCTACAATCTCTTGAGGGGGCCCCTGCTGAAGTCTTCTCAAGAGGTTGTAGATGATTTGAAGCGTTTCGAACCTCCCTGAATTTCCTTTTTGGTTCCTAACATGAAATGTGGAGGATGAAACCTCACCATTCCGGCTGTGGGACCTTCCTGGAAACACTGGATGGTCCTTTTCTTCTGGGGTTTGCTCACCTGGTTATTCCAGGTGGGGTTCAAGCATTTTCCAGAAGTAAATTTTTTGGGGGGGGAAGCGGGGGTAGAGCTTTGTAGGCTTCAGGATGGACCCAAAGCCTCTTTCAGAAGATGGATTGCTGGAAAACTGTTGAATCACCTGCCATGGTTGGTAACGTTCCAGAAAAGGGTGGGGAAGGACTGCTGTGTTGGGAGGAATGGACAATGAATTTTCACCCGCAGGCAACTACGAGGTGCTTTTCTTTTCTTTCCTCCACATCATCTTCACCTCCACCTCTACCACCATTCCTCCTCCTCCCTTTCTTTCTTTCTTTCTTTCTTTCTTTCTTTCTTTCTTTCTTTCTTTCTTTCTTTCTTTCTTTCTTTCTTTCTTTCTTTCTTTCTTTCTTTCTCTTTCCTTCCTTCCTTCCTTCCCTCCTCCTCCTCCTCTTCTTTTTCCTCCTTGTCCTCCTCTTACCTCCTCTTCTCCTCTTGTTCCCCTTTTCTTCTCTTCCCTCCACATCATCATCTCCACCTCTTTCTTTCTTTTTCTTTCCTTCCTTCCTTGTTTCCTTCCTTCCTCCCTCCCTCCCTTCCCTCCCTCCTTCCTTCCTTCTTTCCTTCTCTCCTCCTCTTCTTTTTCCTCCTCCTCCTCCTCC